TCTCTGGGATTCTCAGTTTTTCATAATCTACAGACCATCAGCAAGTTGTATCCCATTTCCAATTAGTACGTCAGTGAGCAGCGCAAACCAGCAAAAACTAGTACAAAAATGTAACACTCTTAGTTGAGACTCGAGGCAGCGAAACAGTGATTCGCTGTGTCCTTCACCTAGAGCCATACTCTGTGCTGTGCTGCCAGGAAGAAATGTACAGGTCTTTAAATAAAGTAAATAATAGATAGTGTCTCAGATGGTGGTCCTATAAATGGATGCCTGTCCTCGTTTATGACTTGAAATTAAATTTCTTCCACTCTGCCCAATGCAACTAATTGCTGTGTAGAAAAGGCTCATGCCTCAGATGCGGCTTGTCTCAAAGTCACGTATTTCTGTGGTTAATTTTTGAATAATTATTTGTTCCTGTAATGCAATCTGCAGTGGATTTTTATGTCATCTTTCAGTACTGTTCAGTAAGAACCTCAGCTTTGTTCCTGTGTATGCATGATGTGTTGGGGGAACAAATTACATTTCTTACTGTTATTGACTGCCATGGAGTTATTTGGCTAGGTGCCAGCTCGAGGCCCTAAATATTTGTTGGAGGCAAATTCTATTTAGATGTGCAATTCCTGAATTTAATTTTGTTGCAATTTTAGAAAACATTACTCATTTGAAATTAATATATGCAGTCTACCCAGTCATAAATGTTGCTGCAAAATAAGAATGAAATGTTGGCATAAAGCATTGTGATTAGCTTTAAAATGATAATTATTTTCTTCTTTTTATAACTTACATTAATTTTTTCAATTTCTTTTCTCGTTATTAAGACTAGGGAGATTACATTCAGGCCTTTCCCTCAGCCATAATTTTAAAGTATTTAATTGCTTTCTGTTTTAAAGCTGAGATTCTCACTAGTTCCTATGACTGCAATAGATAGGGTGTGAGATAGAATACCAGATAACTGCAGGATTCCTGGCAAACGCCACAAAAGTTAAGTGCATATGACATAGAGATAATTCTGATATACAAAAATAGGGGGCACAATGAAAAGTGAGAAACTTTATTCTATTTTATCCAAACCAGATTTCAAAAAGGGCATGAGAGAAGACCGAGTAAACTATGGACCTGTTAGTCTAACCTCAGTACTTGGAAAAATCATGGAGAAGATCATCCTGGGTGCTATTGAAAGGTGTATAAAGGGCAAGGCAATCATCAGGTTTTTGCTGGAAGCTTATTCACTTACTGTTACACACCTGACCCCTGTTTTTCACTTCCACCCAGTGTCCAACTAAATACTGACACAAAACCTGGTTTTGCCTTTATTATGAAATGATGCTGTTTCAGTCCAACAAATTAGACCTGTGAATCTGCTATAACTGATCAAAGGATAGGGGTATCTTCACAGGATTTTAACTATTGAACTGATAAAGGAGAGAGATTTTTTTTAAAATTATTTTTTAAATTAAAAAAACTGAGGATAGTCTTAACAAACAGAGACATTGGAGCTGATAATCTATGACAATATTGGAATAGGCTTATTTCTTGATGTGCATCCTATGTTGATGTTGTCCAGTCTTGGCTTCTGTGTTAAGGTGAAGGCCCTTCATCAGCAAGTTTGGATGTAGCTGCAGTGTTGGGGTGTAGAGGGTCAGGGCACATCTTGTGTCTTTGTGTACACTGTGCAAGGTCACACTAAGTAGACTGAGAGAGGGTTGCCACAGCCTCTGTTGGTTTTGTTTCTTCCTCACCTGGGTAAGAGGTATTTTCATCAGTTGCACCCTATTCAGTTAAATGTATCTCACTGTTGGAAAAAAAAAGTGGGTTTTTTTTTTAATAGCTCTTAATTTCACCATTTTCTGTCTTTCAAAGCAGAAGTTTAACTCTTCCAAAGTAGTGTAATTTTTTTCTAAATAGTTGGTCTGGTTTAGTTTATTTTAACCACATGAACCACATTAAATTCTTTTGGTTTTTAGTATCTCTTATGAACTACGCCTTCAGTCCTTTCCTCTTTTTCCCTTGTTGTTTTGAAAGCATTAGAAGTCAGTGCACAGTGGTGTTAATTTCAGTGTTATTAAAAAACTTCAGGTATAGCACAGACCTTAAAGTCTTACTGTAACAAAAAGAAAAAGATAAACATTGATTTTTTTTTTTTCTGAACTTTTTTGGTTTGGGATTCCATAAATCACACTTCTTGTCCTCCAGAGAAAAATGTAGTTTGTGTCATGTCAGTGGAACTCAATAATAAAAGGTGAGTAAAGATGAAAAGGCTCCTGCCAAGAAGTGTAATTAAGAATCTCCAATGTTCTTCTGTGTAGAGAAGAAAAACGATTTGCTGTAATTTAAAGGAAACTTTTGTGGTTTTGTGCGATATATTCTTTCCTGACATTGCCATGGTCCTAATTTAATAACTGAACATTAATCCTGTGCCAGTTAAAGACAGAACTCTTCTTTGGCTCAAAGCAACCAGTCCTGTATTCATGGCCAGTTATCTTCAGAGCCGCTCCATAAAGCTGTCTGTCATAAATACCAGTGTGAGAAAAGCTGAGCGTCTTTCTCATATTAGGTTGTAGGGAAAAACATGAAGAAGTGTAAACAAATGCTGTAAATGGTGACAAAATACACTGTAAGAAGCTGCCAGGCAGTAGCACAGCCACGGGGATGAGCAGGTGGAGCTGGCAGCGAGGCTTGACCTGAGATCCCAGTGGCTAAAGCAGCAAAGGGCCTTGAGCTAAGGAAGTTTGAACGCCCCACTGGGTTTTTTTTAGGCAACACTGCACCTGCAGGACTGTAGGATGCTCTCAACAAACGTACGCCTTCCCTGCTATCTCTTCGAAAGAGGGACATCATGCCATCAGAGGTAGAGCAAGAATAATACAACCCAGCTGGGAGGGGAGAGATTTCTTGTTCCCAAGACTGTTTTCTATTTGTTCGTGATGCTGCAATCTAAAATGCAGAAAAAGATCTGTATCACCTTACCGAGGCCTGAGTTTCAAATACAAAATCTGTGGTTGTGCCTTAGGTACCTACATGAGCTAAACATTTTTGATAGCAAGAAGCTCTTTAGTCAAGCAGATAAAAGCATGGAAAGAGGCAATACTAAGAAAGTGAAGATAAATAAGTGTGGGCTGGAAGCGAGAAGAGGGTGGTAGATTCTTTGTTCCCGAGTCTGTAATTCAGAACCTGCTATTTTTTTTCTATATTGAGATATGTGTTTAATGCAGGAATTGTGGCCAAGGGCTTTCAAGAGCTGTGTTATGTAGGAAATCAGATTAGATGAGGGATGATCAGAAAGTCTCCACTGCCTCTAAAATAGTGCGGCCTTAAAACGGGTTTAAAGTTAGACTCCTAAACTGTATAATTCAGTTGAATTTAGTGGAGCTGTGTCTTTTTACAGCTGCAAGTGTATCTACATTTTTTAGGTCTGACCTCCTAGTAATATACAGAAAATAATTTAGTAGGCTCTTTTACCGAGAAATATGTTTTCTTCGTCAAAAGTTGCATTCTCCTCACACCCTTTTGCTTCTCTTCCCCTGAGAAATAAGGCATCCTATTGCAGTCAGCAGAGCTTGCATTCCCCCTGGGTCCTTTGCCCATACCCAGCTCTGCACAAAGGGATTGCAGATTGTCGTCAGGATGGCAGGAATAGCTGCACCTGCATCCAGCTATTAGGAAATGAGTCACTGAATTTGAGGAGAAAGAGAAGCAAAATGCTGTGCCTGGGGAGAATATCCTACTGTGCTCTGTGGGGGTATGTGTGTGTGGGTGTTTTTACCCAGGTATAGGCTATACCAGTGCTATCCCCAGGGGAGTCTCTGACTCACCCCCATTCCACCCCTGGGAAGCAGCTATACGAGAAGCTGACAGTTAAATGGGGGAAAATGAATTGCAGCTGTGGATTCCCCCAACATCACCTTTTCTGTTAACAGGTTTGCTGGAAGTGGGTACAACTTAAAGCCAGAGAATTTTGGCAGGGTATCTCTCAATGCTACTATATAGTTGGCTGTTACTAATGGCAAGGATCAAGAAAAAAAGCAGGAAGGAGCCGGACCAACATAGGTCTATTCAGGTTTTTCATTTCACAGGACCAAAAGAAGGGGCCAGGAGACCATGGGAAAAGATGGTGTTAAATTTCTTCCAAAAAACTACTTCTGTCATAAATTCTGGGAAGCGGCATCCAGTGTTCTGTCACCAAGAACTGTAAGGAAGCTGCAAGGAGAATAAAAACATAGGAAACAGCAAAAAAGAAACCCAACCCCATTGAGTCATTGACTAAGAACCTGCCATGCAAATCCATAAAGATTTGAGAGGGGGTTGGGAACCTTGATCAAGAGAGTGGAGATGTTCTACAACCCAGGTTTTTCAGTCTTCCGCTAGAAGATATAACTGATCTCTGACACCTAGGGCTCCATATTAACCTAAATCACTTTTAAACTTGATTATGGGATGTATATGTAAATAAAATTACGACCTGCCTTATCACAGTCATGCCAAGGTTTTCTGTTGTTTCTATGTATGAGTGGTCAGAACTGAAGCTATGTCCTAGCTGATAGGGCAAAAGTGCAAAAACTTCTTTCATTTTGGGACTCCCAATATTTAATATAAAGCTTTTTGCACGTATAATAGTCAATGCAATATTTAAAAATGCTCATGGATGCTAAAAATTGAATATTTCTTAGCAAGGGAGTCTTTCAACATTTTATTAGGTCATGTAGAAAATGGATTTCCCCTGGGTAATACTAAAACAGCTAAATCTGAAAACCTGCCTAAAAGAGGAATAGCTCTCGAGTATGAAATCTTCCAATGTATGATAAATACAACCTCAATAAAATTTGACATGGTGGACAGAGCAACCAGGTCCAGTGAGGATTTAAGCATAGAGAATAACGGAAATAACTTTAACTGTTGCTTCCAATAATATAATAAACAGAAAAGCACCTCGTTCCTTGGGTTTTAATGGATCCCGCACAAAATAATGAAAGTAATCATTTAAATTGCTTGGTTCACTGCAGGCATCGTGTCCCTGATTTCCCTGGCTGTCCTGTCCTACGAACGCTACAGCACTCTCACCCTGTGCAACAAGCGCAGCGCTGACTATCGGAAGGCTTTGCTGGCAGTCGGCGGTTCCTGGATTTATTCCCTGATCTGGACCGTGCCACCCCTGATCGGCTGGAGCAGCTACGGGATAGAAGGAGCGGGTACAAGCTGTTCAGTCCGCTGGTCCTCTGAGTCAGCCGAGTCCACGTCCTACATCATCTGTCTCTTCATATTCTGCTTGGTCATCCCTGTGATGGTCATGATGTACTGCTATGGCCGTCTCCTTTACGCTGTTAAACAGGTAAGCTGAGCTACTGTGTGCTAGCCATAGTGCAAACTCCTCTGAGACCTCTGTTGGCTTTCTCTTCTATCGAGTTTGGAAGCACTGATGATAGAGAGCAAAACAACAAAGCAAAATGAAATTGAGAAGACCACAGAAATCCTCAAGGAAGGGGCAGGAGACCTTCACCAAGCTTTTTCATACTCCTGAAGCTCCAGTCAGAACAACCAGATAATATCCATATAGTTATGGACTTTGTGGTTTGGGAATACTGTGCTCCAGGAAAAACAGCATATCTAAGTGAAGGTTGTGTTTGTAATCATACCAACACTTACCTGTCTGTAAGACATGTTCACCTGTCTATAAATAAGTCATCTGTGCAAACATTTCTTCCTGGTTTTGGATCATGACACTTTAGTAATTTCTGCTTCTTAATCTGTGGGCACTTAACTCTACAGTAATTACTCTACAGTAATGCAATTCTATTCCAATTTTCAGAATTATCCCAGGGATCAGCTTCTCCTTGTAATTCTGGACCACATTTAAAAATTTCCTTAAATACTACTACTGCTACTACTATTACTACAGGTGCTACTATGCTGACACTCTGGTTCAAGGGTTGCTGCAGATATTCCAAAACAAATGTTTCAAAAGACCCTGCCAGAGGGTATGGTATTGTAAAGTTTGAATACTGTTGGGACAGTAATGAAATGGTTTAATGATGAGTAATGAGACAGGAATGAGTATATAGGTGTTCTCTAAAAAGCAATTCTCTAAAGTGTTCAGATGAATTAACTAAAGGTGTTAAATGGTTGAGGGGTGGGGAGGGGGAGAACAGTAATTCCCTGAACAGAGGCTCTCATACAGAATTAAAGTGGATGTACTTTACTTTTGATTAGTTGTAAGGAATTAAGGTCGTGCCTTTTACATGATTTGTCAAAACTTTCAGAACACTTGAAGCCCAGATGGGAAATCTTTTCCTAGTTGAGTGCTGAGCAGGCCATTAAAATCCCTTTGATGAATCACACATTAGTAGTCCTCTTAATGCTGTGCAATAGTAATATGGAAAAAATTTCTCTTGATTGTAAACCATTAAATTGAGTTGCAGACTGTATTTAGTCCCTGGGCAGCAGTAGCCTTTACCATCACCTTAAAAAAAAGGAGTGTGATCTTGTGTGTGCTACTAGATGTGCTACTACTAATATACAGAAGATAACAACTTTCTTAAACTTTTGGCTCTTCTTTCTCTCAGCCCTCACTGACATTCTTGGCAGCAGGCGTCACCCACAACATACAAATACTGATATGGATGACACTTCCGTAGCATGTGCTTTAGCTTCTAGGTCTACATGTAGACTTGTGTTATTTTGTTCCCCTTTTTAAAAATTCAGTTATATTAAAAGCAGTAGTAGATCTCACTGATCTGCCTACTGGGTCTCAAGAAGTTGTGGGAAACATGTTGAGGGAATGAAGTATCATAGAAAAGATACATGCGATCTGTAGCCATGTTGTATTTAGACATGGAGTCTAGTAGACAGGGTGGAGGACTATGGTGATTGATTAATTGATTATCCAGAGGAAAAAAATGGGAGAAAGAATAGCATTTTCCACAATCCTCTCTCCTCTCTCCTCCCTGCGCTTTTGAGAATGATCAGGAAGCCTCAGGGATGTTGAGGTTAGGGAGGCCTGAGAAATTTTGTAAATGGTGGAAATGAAAAAGTCGAACCTGATTTCACATAATGTGTTGGAGGGCAAGTCTCAGGAAACTAATGCTTGTGAGATGCAAAGGAACTCCGATGAGGATTAGGTTGTATCTCCTCTCTAGAGTTGTTATGACTCAGGGTCATAGCAGCTGCCCAAGCATTTGTGAAGTCTTGACTAGCTAAACCCCAATTTTTTACACAAAGTAATGTTTTTCTGGCATTTGTAAAATATTTCCTTGATAGCTTATATTTCAGCAAAAAGAATCAGAAAATGCATCAGTCCTCGGTTTTCTGTGATGTATAAACCTCCAGTACCACAATCCCGAAATCTTGCATTTTATACATATTCTGTGATGTATATACAAATTCCCAAAGACCATATCATGACACAGTCCCTGAAATACAGACTTTTTTCCTCTGTTCTGAGGTCCTCTAACCTATTACTCCAGAATAGAACCTCTACTATTCTGTAGTAAACAGGGTAGATTACGAAATGCTAAAGAATGTCATGTTTTAAACTGGAGGAAGAGATGATCAAATAAATAACAAATAAAAGTATAGTAGTTCTTACATAAAACTGCAATAAGTAGGTAGGATAATAAAAAAAAAAAAAAAGAGTTAAGAGATGGTATTACATCCATTGTAATGATGTTACTTTCTGGTGTGGGCGAAAAATTCATTATCTTGCAATATTCTGGCCTCATAGATTAAAGTCCTTCTATGACCCTCTGTGTAATACATCAGAAGAAATGTGGGAGCGTTGCAAAAATAATAAGTGCATTATCCTAGCTTTAGCTGCTTGGTAAATTTTCTAAAATATAGATTTCATATTTTTGGAAGATGCATAGAAATTTTTATGTTAGAACATTGTAGCATTCATGGTATTACACCTGAGATCAAGAGTGTAGAAGTTATGCCGTTATTAATCTGCAATGTAAATTAATTGAAGTGGAAGAAATATCTTAATAGATTTGGGATAGTTAATGCAAGAATTGGCACAGTGCCTGCACTTTCTCTTTACAGGGACAGTAATTATAGGTCTGCTTTGCTTTTTTTTTTTTTTTTTTTTTTTTTTTTTTTTTCTCTCTAAATTTAGTCAGTTGCTGTAGTGTTCTGTCACTCGAGGCATTAGCAGATCCTATGAATTCATCTGCAATCTGTGTAATGGTAAAAGACACAAGGATTTCAGTAATGCAGGCTTTATAAAAGATGGTCTTTTCAAGGAATTACAAGTCAATAGCATCCCTGTATGAATAATGTTAACAGCAAATGCCATTAAACAATATTACAACATGACTGTACTATTATCTCAGAGCTCTTGCCATTTATCAAGCTGGAAGCCCCTTCAGAATTGCTCAGAATATTTTCTTTAAAGGTTTTTTTCCAGAGTGGCTTGATCTAGATGGTTGAGTTTGGTTCTGCAGATGGCATTTGCTGCTGTCCTTGTGCAACACACTCAGAGGAGCCGAATTCAGCCTGGCCCGAGAGGTGGGGCAGATTGAGCAAATCCCAGGAAAATGTTAGCTCCGAATAGTGAGAACATTTCAGAGGTGCTCAGCAAAATAATGCTCAAAACAGAGAGCTGAAGAAAACCTGAGGTTTCAGAATCTGTTAGGAAACTTGGCAATGCGTCAGAATTTAAGACATAGAGAAACACAAATATTTTCATTAGCCTTTTCTTCCCTTTGAGTCCATATTTTCACTCATGCTGATCTTGTTTCTTGTATTTATGAAACCTGTTCTTCCATTCCTGCAGATGCTGAAATTCAGTTTCTTCTTTAAGTTAATTCGGTTTCTTCTTTAAGTTTTCCTTTAGAGATGACGCATCTAATACCTGTAAGTAGAAAGGTGCAAAGTTTTCTCCATCACAAAATATTATTCACATATATTTTATTTATGCACATTCTACAGAATAACGGAAAGAAACTGAGAATTGTTTATTTCTCCTAGTGCAATTAGATTATTTTTTTCAGCTTTTGGCTTATAATGCTTCTCTGTGACTCTACCATTGTGTTCCCTCTGGAGAAATGTTCTTTATGAAGTCAGTGTCAGTTGTTTTCACTTTGAAAAGTAGGGTCCCAAATGTGGAATTACAGAGATTAGCATATGATCACTGTAGTGCAGAAGGCACAATATGATTAAAATCCTCCACTAAGGGGCCCAGAGAACTCATATGAACCAGCCTAATGAAAATTAGTAAAACTTTTAAAAGGGATCTCTTCAGTTTGCATTATCTCCCACTTGCTCATAAAAATCCTTCCTAAGGACAAGAAGAATCCCAGAACGTTGTTTCAAGATAAGTTTTCAGATTGGTTTTGTGGAGACTCTCATCTTGGCTCATCTTGTTGCCAATCTTTTTTCATCAAAAGCTGTGCCTGAGCAAAGCTCAGCAGCTAGTTATGGAATGCAGCTGGGACATGGAAAACAATAAAAAGGATTGTAAGCAGAGCACGAAGACTTAAAACGCATAGTGTAATACACATCTGACCATGCAGTTCTTGCTCAGCGAAATAGACCATGTGTTAAAGTGGGCAAAGGGCCAGCGGTCACACGGTCTCATGGGGTTCTGGAGCAGATGGAGTTGTGACCAGACTTGATAGTACTACTATGTTGGGTTTTTTTCTTTTTACTTGAGAACAGTGAGGAAAAAGTAGATGGAAAACATTTATTATGTTTTTTCAAATCATTACCCTAGTTCTACTTTGACTTTGTTTTTTGACAAAAGTGCAAGAAAAAAGTACTTGATGAAGATTTTAAGACTAGCCCATATGAGACAGAAGTTGACCTTGCCAGTATGTCTTGTCCTCCACTCTGTGGTGCACCTGCTAATCCTTAATTCCTCATACACTGCTAGTTTAGCTGGTGACCTTGTAGGAGAATGGGGACAGTGAGGGTTAATGCTGCAGAGAGTTGCCTCTCTTTTACTTCTCTTCCAGACTTCAAATTACCAAATTTTTTAGTGGAGGAAAAGTGCTTCTGTCTCTTATTTAAGAAGTAAAGCCCCAGAGTGAAATTGTGACTCAATTATAAACCAGAAGAAACTAATTTTGAATTCTGTCTGGTGAGATTTCAACTCCAATATATTTTTCAAGTACTGGATATAAATGACAGTGGTGGTTTTGAAATCTCCCTTACCCACAAAGAAAGTCTGAGAGAAAAAGGAAAGAAGAGATGTAGATTTTTATGACTTCTGATTCCTTAATCATGCTTTTTGCTGTACTATCTGGAACAGTTAAAAACATCTGTAAAAGCAATTATTGCATCATTATTCATTAAAATAGGCAGGAAATGATTATAAAGTAGAAGGATCGCTCCTGT